CCTGTGGGCATTAATGGAAATGGTTACAGAGGCAACTAATAGCCTCGATAACTAAACCCCAAAATCCCTTTAGCTAAGCAAATTACACAGTTTAATTCATATAAGTACTGCATCGACAATTGGGTCTAGAACGACTACAATTACAGTCTCTATGCGAAGTACCTTCAGTGTGCGGTGAGAGAGTTGCATAATTTGATTTGCCTATCATACACAATCCAGTGTGCAGCTGTGCAAAGATTGCGATCATCTACATTTACTACTTGCATTAAGCCAGTTGGGAATATTTGGCTAAAATTTCTGGTAGTAAATATTGTAGAGCTGTCTCTAAACTTACGATTCATTTCGCAGTCCATCACATAGAGTGACGGAACGTGTGCGAAAACTTTTTCTGACACTGTTTACATTAGGGCAGGTCTAAATCAGCAGGTAATGCAAATTTCTAGATACTTATAACTGAGTCTAAACCGAGCAGTAGATAGGAGTCTGCTGGTTTTATGGATAAAGATTTTCATGTATTATTGTCCTCAGGTTGCTGATAGGCAATCCATGGTTATATTCAACTTCTTTGAAGGCTGGTTCGTTATCTAACTCATTAGCTTTATCATGCCTTCAGAGGCCAACAAGCGATGGAATCCACATGAAATTAATTCTGTTACATCCTTAATAATTTTATTGTATTCGCATCTAGCTTCAGACACGAGCATGATTCAATTGTCTTAAGAGAGTTGGAAGTAATTAAGGATAAAGAATCACTTCCAATTAATTTGTCAAGTTTGGGGGACTTGTACAACTTTGAGTGCAAAAGGCATTTTACATTTTAAATAGTTTTGTGTGATGGGTAGAGGCCCAACTGATTTACACGAGCTCCTCACTCATAATGCAAGTTGAAGGCGTTGAACTTTGCCTAAAAACGAAGCTTGGGTTGATCTTTAATTTGCTTCTTGAGTAGCAAGGGAGGGATTACAATTTTAAAAGGGTAATCTTCCTATGATAAAAGAACGTGTCGTTGTTGTCTCTTTTGGTACAAATTGTAAACATGACTTGAGCTCTCTCAGTTTTCACAATACTTTTTCCTGTGCCACTTGTCAGAGTTTCTCTTTCCTCCGCTGATCCTGGGTACCTGTTGGCAAGCAGAACCTTTCCAATGGCCATGGTCTGTGTGAGAGACAGTCGGAGATCTCAGAAGTTGACTCTTAGGCGGTTTTGAATAAGACTGGGGGGGGAGAGGGGGATTGCCTTTGAAAAACAGACTCCAGGGAATGGTTTATTGCGTACTTCATTCTTATTAGCACTTCTGACATACGGATCCAAGATGCATTTATCAAATCAGTACATGCTAAGTTCAGTTGAAAGTCATAACAACAAAACTTCAACTGCAATTAAATGATGAAACTTTGCCCAGACTGCGGTTATCAAACGGTTGTGACTTACTCCAGATGAATTCTTAACCAGTCTGTCTTTGCTTTCATTTCAAGGGCTTCTGCCCTTGTGCTTCGATAATTCCTACCACTCCTAGATAGCAGATGTCACATAGTGGAACCTTCTCCCTGGGAGTAATGAATAAATATCATGAGGAAGAACTATTAGATGATCCTGTATGATTGATACGCATTCGTTCCGACGACAATCCATATTATTTAAAGTTTTATCAGATTGCGCGAACAAGTTGGCCCACGTGTTCTTCGTCGAAGATGGAGATTTTGTGTCATTTACTTGGCACATCTGTGCCAGGTGGTGACGCTCCTACCTAGGGAAGGTATACCACAGGATGTGCGGCTTTAAATTTCATTTTTGTCCTTTGAGCACCTAATTCTTCTGTATTCTCTCTCTCCCCTGCAAGTGTTGCGTCCCGATGTTCTCTCTCTCCCCTGCAAGTGTTGCGTCCCGATGTTCTCTCTCTCCCCTGCAAGTGTTGCGTCCCGATGTTCTCTCTCCCCCCCTGCAAGTGTTGCGTCCCGATGTTTCTCTCTCTCCCCTGCAAGTGTTGCGTCTCGATGTTCTCTCTCCCCCCTGCAAGTGTTGCGTCCCGATGTTCTCTCTCTCCCCTGCAAGTGTTGCGTCTCGATGTTCTCTCTCTCCCCTGCAAGTGTTGCGTCCCGATGTTCTCTCTCTCCCCTGCAAGTGTTGCGTCCCGATGTTCTCTCTCTCCCCTGCAAGTGTTGCGTCCCGATGTTCTCTCTCCCCCCTGCAAGTGTTGCGTCCCGATGTTCTCTCTCTCCCCTGCAAGTGTTGCGTCCCGATGTTCTCTCTCCCCCCTGCAAGTGTTGCGTCCCGATGTTCTCTCTCTCCCCTGCAAGTGTTGCGTCTCGATGTTCTCTCTCTCCCCTGCAAGTGTTGCGTCCCGATGTTCTCTCTCCCCCCTGCAAGTGTTGCGTCCCGATGTTCTCTCTCCCCCCTGCAAGTGTTGCGTCCCTATGTTCTCTCTCCCCCCCTGCAAGTGTTGCGTCCCGATGTTCTCTCTCTCACCTGCAAGTGTTGCGTCCCGATGTTCTCTCTCTCCCCTGCAAGTGTTGCGTCCCGATGTTCTCTCTCTCCCCCTGCAAGTGTTGCGTCCCGATGTTCTCTCTCCCCCTGCAAGTGTTGCGTCCCGATGTTCTCTCTCTCCCCTGCAAGTGTTTGCGTCCCGATGTTCTCTCTCCCCCCTGCAAGTGTTGCGTCCCGATGTTCTCTCTCCCCCCCCTGCAAGTGTTGCGTCCCGATGTTCTCTCTCCCCCCTGCAAGTGTTGCGTCCCGATGTTCTCTCTCCCCCCTGCAAGTGTTGCGTCCCGATGTTCTCTCTCCCCCCTGCAAGTGTTGCGTCCCGATGTTCTCTCTCGCCCCTGCAAGTGTTGCGTCCCGATGTTCTCTCTCCCCCCTGCAAGTGTTGCGTCCCGATGTTCTCTCTCCCCCCTGCAAGTTTTGCGTCCCGATGTTCTCTCTCCCCCCTGCAAGTGTTGCGTCCCGATGTTCTCTCTCTCCCCTGCAAGTGTTGCGTCCCGATGTTCTCTCTCCCCCCTGCAAGTGTTGCGTCCGCGATGTTCTCTCTCCCCCCTGCAGTTTTGCGTCCCGATGTTCTCTCTCCCCCATGCAAGTGTTGCGTCCCGATGTTCTCTCTCTCCCCCTGCAAGTGTTGCGTCCCGATGTTCTCTCTCCCTCCCCCCCTGCAAGTGTTGCGTCCCGATGTTCTCTCTCTCCCCTGCAAGTGTTGCGTCCCGATGTTCTCTCTCTCCCCCCTGCAAGTGTTGCGTCCCGATGTTCTCTCTCCCCCCCTGCAAGTTTTGCGTCCCGATGTTCTCTCTCCCCCCCCCCTACAGTGCTGCGTCCCGATGTTCTCTCTCCCCCCTGCAAGTTTTGCGTCCCGATGTTCTCTCTCCCCCCTGCAAGTGTTGCGTCCCTATCGTCTCTCTCCCCTGCAAGTGTTGCGTCCCTATCTTCTCCCTCACTTGCAAGCCGTGTTGTTTTTAAGTACTCTCTGAAGTATGCTTTGCTTTCTTATCTTTCTCTTTCGTATAAACCATTCTCTCTCTCTCTAATTCTGGCTTCCTTATCTTCAAATCCTTATCTGTCTCTGGTGCAAGCCTTGCTTTCTCTAACTCGAGATTCGCTATCTTTAATTCCTGTCTGTCTTCTGTCGCGAAGACAATGTCTGATGTAACGAGATGTTTTCAACCTGACTCGTCAAACACTTACCCATAAAAAAACATTTTGATGACTAAGTGTTTGACAAGTCGTCACACAACCAATTTTGGTTATGAAATTGCCTTTTAATCCCCTTTTAAGTAAACTGAGCCCTAACGTAGCAGATACGTAACATACAATTGCTTTAAATAACCCAAATACAATTAGGGAAAGGATTAGTAAGAACAGTGTAGGAGAGGATAGTAAACCGAGAGGCGTTTATGTATTACCTGGTAGAGATTGTAATGAAGTCTATGTGTTGGGAAACAGGGCGAAACTGTAGATCAGAACTGAGGAGCATAAGACAGCGTGTAGAATTATGGCTGGTAACATTGCTGTAGCTAACCATAGTTGGGGAAAAGATCACAATGTTGATTTTAATAATGGCGAATCTATAAAAGTAATATTATTAGAACTAGAAGGGTAGTGGAAGGGGTTCTAATAATAACAATCAAAATACTTTCGTTGGTTACAAAAGCTTTGCTTTGGAGAATAGCTTTACTTGGAAAATGATTCCGAGTGAATTAAAATTAGATCTCAATAAATGGATGAATGAAAGCAGTCCCATTAGCCGCGTTCCTTGGAGGTATCGAGAGGGTTACGAGAGATAACATCCTAGTTGAACATCTCTATTAATAACAACTCCAGTTCCCAGAAGAGTAGGATTACAGAGAGAGAACACATGACCCTATTTCTGTAAAAGGCATTACCACAGGTACAACAGCAGTCGTGGAATAGAGGTGACATGGTCAGGCGGTCAAGAAGGATAAGAGGATTTTACCCAAGATAGCAGCCTTATTAGACCAACGTTGAGGTATAAGTCTTGTCCTACTCCCACACTCAGACCTTGACAAAGCACTCAAGAGAGTGCGAAAAACGTGGTGTAAATTCCTTACATAAATTTCACAAATGCACAAGTGTGGGTTTTTATCCAATTAACTAACATCATAACTGGAATACAACAACTCTGTGAAAACACTTAAGTTCTATCTACCAAAACAACACGAGTGTGTTTTTAACAGTGTGAAAAACACACTCGAGAGACTCAATAAAATCTAAACATTCTTAAGTGTCATGTTGCCTCAACACTCCTTAACCTAAGTGTTTTATCTCTCCTTGTTTTGAATGCCCCGTCTCTAATAGATTATACGAACCCAGCTCGCTCCAGGCATTATTTTGTTTGGCACAGAGTCCTCCTGCCATTAGGTTTGTCAGAATGCTATCGAAGCAGGATGTAGTAGAAAACTCCTCCCCAATGCGTGAGGGGCACTCTGTACTCCAGGAGTAACTCCTCGAACAGTAACAATGGGGGTCCACGGTGGAGACTCCTATAGCCCTGCTCAATGGAGAGTAACAATAAAGATGAAATGACTGATCGATACCTAACCACTTTTAACCTTCGGGATTCTAACAACGTCCCCTTGACAGTCAACGCCGTTGCTGTACGGAAACCCCATAGGTAATGGAACGCAATACATAATACACAGTATAATGTATTGCACAGTGTTTTTGATTGTTTTGCTGCACTGTATTGGATCTGTTGGTCAGGCTGTGTCGAGCAGCGAGGGAAGTTCAACAAACGGGCAACGTTTGAAACTACTCCCATTCCC